TAAATATAAATAAATTTTTAAGCAAGTTAATGTATTTTGTTTCAATATTATTTGTTCTTTATTATTTGATATTTTGAGAGGATATAATGGTAATTAATAATATTCACCTCTCAATTATTCACCATTTAATTCTATCTAAAATAATACAAATAATTAAAAATAAATTTTCTAATACATTAAGTTAAAAAGAGAGCAATAAAGCATTAGATTTAAAGTCTAATGCATGGAAGGCAGATTTTTATATGTACCTTTGCTGTGTATTCCATAGTTGCTCATAAGAGTATTTTCAGACATAATTACTAACTTTTATTGGGTTTTGCATGTGGATATATACATTTAGACACTATCAATAACTGCTTCATCATGGCTTATTTTTAGATTGTACCCCCTGAAAAATCTGTGTTTTTTGTATTTCCTATTAATTTCCTATGCCAGTCATTTTTAATCGCAAAGATCACAAGTGTGACTATTTTTAATACCATTAGTCTTTTCTAAAAAGTCCAGATTTGTGTGTGTGTGTGTGTGTATGTATGTGTATGTGTTCATATAGCAAATGGAACAAAATTACAAAGTTTTGTCCAATTTTGATGAAGTAAAAATAGGCCTAAGGCCAATATGGCCTAAGACCACCACAGGGTTAAAAAATTTTTGGCTCAAATTTTAATAATCTGTATAACAATATAAAAAATGCATTTAATTAACATTTAATTAGAAAAAGCATTTGCCTGTAATCAGTGTGACAATAAAATCCTCAAAACTCTCTGTTCTTGGGGAATTCTGACACTCACAAGCGCTGACTCACATCGTTGTTTCTGAAGGAAGTGAAATCACAAGTTCGCCGGAATCTGCCCTTGGGAAAAGTTGGGGGTGGGGAACGAAGCTGAAAATATGAACATGTCTCTGGCTGCTCAGACACTTTAGTCACAGGTTCAATGTGGTTGGCCCCACTTTCACTGATCTGGCATCATGACTCAGTGAAGGAGTGAGTATTCTATTAAAAACTGGCTTGATATTGGACGCCCATGAAGGACGATTGCCAGTGACAAGTGTTAATGTATGAGCAGTCATTCTGTCTCTGGGTCATTGAGTTTGTAGTAGTAGTGGGGGATCTTTGAGTGATCAAGGGTTTGGGGCAGGTCTCAGCTGGTGGGTTGTGACCTAAAAATGGGTTGCAGGTTGCAGCTAACCATATAATGTGCTTAAAAAAATTTAAGTGATAATACCACTGCAATATTTAGCCCTGTGTTTGTTGCATGTGTTATGCTGGTAAATCACTCTTCTACTGTTGTTTATGCATTTACAAATGCTATAAAAATCCTTTTCAGTCTATTTTATTTTATGCTAAATTTGTTGGAGATATGCAGTCCATGGTAATTTCATAGATTTTTCAATACTGATCAGAATTTTTTATTTTTTTTTATTTTTACTGATTTAGGTTGCCACTTGATGCTTAATTTAAATTCTGTAGTTAAACTAGTTTAGAATTACACCACAGTAGACGACCCTCTCAAATAATCTATAAGGTAGTGAAAGTAAAGCCGTGCAGTGTTTCCCAGTCACCTGCTCGTACCCTGGAAGTAAAGCTCAGCTGCTTAGCATTTGTTGTGGTTTGAGGCATGTGTATGTAAGAGGAAGTTAGCGCGTTTACAGCCGAACATGAAAGGATGACATTCAACCCTTGCTACTGTGGCCATATAAGGAAGAAATCAGCACCGCATTGTGTTGTCGTCATATGCTACATATTTTTTAATAGGAAAAATCAAATGCTCATATTTACTTTTGATGAGCATCTCTGCTACTAGTAAGGGTTTATCAGACTATTATAGTGGAACATAAATAAATTAATACTTAACATAAATTGAAATTGTACACTGTATACATCAAATGCATTTTACAGTAAACATTTATTTTTAATGAAAATTAATATGTCAAAACCAGTGATATTTTAGTGGGATTGTGGTACTATAATTATAGTTTTTATTAATGTATATATATATAAAAAAAATCTCCATTTTTATTTTAAAGTTTTATTAATTTTGTTGTGTGGTTTTGTCATTTTCATTAGTTTTTTTTTTTTTTTTAAATGTCTAGATAGTGTTAATTTTTATTTCAGTGTAGCCTACATCAAGTTAACCTAAATGAAAATGAGACATGTTTCCTTGGGAACTAGTTCAGTTTTTAATTTTTTTTATATTTTATTTCATTTCAGTGATTATTTTATTTCAAGTAACAAAAATGTTTTTTAATGGATTTAATTAACTAAAATAATCCTGATCAAAACATGCTTTCTTAGTGCACATTTGTGATGATATCATTCATTTATGCATGTTAAGTTCATTCAAAAGTTCAAAATATAATCAATTCCAGAAGTACAGTTACAGAAGTATAATGTGTGAAAATGTGGATCCCATTTCATGTTGACTTTGTGCACTGCTTGAATAAAATTTTGAAATAGACAAGCACATTTCTGTTAATTTTCTTCAGTGCATTCTTGTAACAAGCATCTTCCTTGCATCAGCTTTTTAAAAGTATTGTGTTTCTGTTTTCACTCTCATGCACCAGCCAAAAAGCTCCATTAGTGTTATTGTGTATCGATCAACGATCAACACGCTGCTGAGACACGCTGGTGTTTTCTTCCTGTTAATCTGTTGATTTTCTTGGGATCCCTTAGATCCTCGCTGGGCGTCTGTGAACAGAGGAGTTCTGATATGTGATGAGTGCTGCGGTGTTCACCGCAGTCTGGGTCGCCACAACTCACAAGTGCGGCATTTGTCAAACACACCCTGGCCGCCCACCCAGCTACAGGTGAGCTAAACTCACAGACAAGCAGACACCCTGGGACCCTTTTATTATGCCTTTAACTGGCCACCCTGCTTCATCTGAGACTTTTTGGCATTGTAGTAATCATCTTTAGTCTCAGGCACATTATAAAGTAGTGGTCGATCCATATGGGTTTTTCTTATGGCTGATGTTGATATCTACAGTATTGTTGGTAGATTTTGAACCTTACTCAAACTCTAACTTTGGTCCACTTGTATATACTGTATAACTAACTTGTCCAATACATGTATATATATCAGCTTGTCCAGTATGCCGTAAAACTTGTTGAGTACTAGTTGAAACAAGTGTTCAAGGCTCTAGATCAGGGATCCTCAAATCTGGCCCACGAGATCCACTTTCCTGCAGAGTTTAGCTCTAACCCTAATCAAACACACCTGAGCAAGCTAATCAATGTCTTCAGGATCATTAGAAAATCACAGGTAGGTGAGTTTGATCAGGGTTGGAGCTAAACTCTGCAGTGCATTGGCCCTCCAGGGCAAGATTGGAGGAACCCTGCTCTAGATACTGTAGGTGGTTAAAATTAAGTATACAGATCAGAAGGTATTTATGCCAGTTTTAAATGTCTTAATCATGCATTTTATTATTGAAAAGTAAAATAGGAAAGTGTGACCGAAATGGTTAGAATTACAGATACAATGAAATTGCAAATTCATGTACCCAAAAATGAAAATTCTCACTTACTCATCTTCATGTATTTCCAAACCCATAACACTTTGTTCAGGATTAATTTAGGTTTTTATTCACATATATATGTATGTCATTGTTTAGATGTAAATAAAAGCCTAAAATAAATCTGTTCATCATATAAAGCGATCATATCTCTGCACAAAACTTATGTTTACCATGACTTTATAACCTTTTTGGTTACCTGAACTTGAAACGGATGGACAGAAACCTCTCAGGTGTCATTAAAAATATCTCAATTTGTGTTCCAAAGATTAACCAAAGTCTTATGGGTTTGGAATGACATTGGAGCGAGTAAATGATGACAGAATTAGCAGAATTCAGTTTTTACTTTCTCTTGTAATTTACTATTTCTTTCTTTTTTTTAAGTCAATATGTGTGCAAACTCACTTGATGAATTAATTTAAAAATAAGCAAAAAACATGAATAGAAAGAGATCTAATAGCCATTATTTTGTCTGCCTCTTATTTTAATTAGAACACGAAAAACAGTCACAGTATTGTGTACTTGTACGGCCTGCAGCATCTTCTCTCTCAAGTTCCTGTTCTTTTGATGTAAATGACTCATAGCTTTAATCCAATATTATCTCTTTATATTTAATGTGTCCTTGTTTAGTACATTTTTCCACATTCTTATGTAAAGATCTGTTTTTTAATCCATCAATGAAGTCTTTTGAATGGTTATAAGAAAATGGTTTATTGGTGTGCGACCTCACTGGAGGGCCTTCCAACAGAATGTGTGACTCACAAAGCATATTTAAAGGAGCATGTTGTCATAATGAATTTTTGTCTTGTGATGTATGCCCTCAATTTCTTTCTCATTCACAGATGGTTCAAACATTATACAACAATGGTGCTAATGCAATATGGGAGCACACTCTGCTGGACCCGTCATCCATCACGAGCGGGAAACGCAAACCCAATCCGCAGGATAAAGTCCAGTGAGTATTTCTGTTTTTCTTGAATTTTTTGAATGTGGAAAAATGTTTTTTTTTTTTTTATATTATAGAAAAATGTATGTTTGGTATGCATTTCCATTCAAAACTTTGGGTCAGTAAAATTAAATTGTATTCAGAAATGATGTATTAAATTGATCAAAAGTGGCAATAAAGACATTTATAATGCTACAAATGATTTCTGTTTCAAAACAATGCTGTTCTTTAATAATCTTAAAATAATCCTCCAACTTGGATAATAATAATAACATAATTTTCAACGTTGATAATAATAAGAAATGTTTCTTGAGCACCAAATCAGCATATTAGAATGATTTCTGAAGACTCACGTTACACTGAAGACTGGAGTAATGGCTACTAAAATTCAGCTTTGCCATCAGGAATAAATTACATTTTTATATATATTAAAGGAGACATATTATGCCCCTTTTTACAATATGTAATATAAGTCTCTGGTGTCCCCATAATGTGTCTGTGAAGTTTCAGCTCAAAATACTCCACAGATCATTTATTATATCATTTTGAAAATGCCTATTTTGAGTAGAAGCAGAAACGCGCTGTTTTTGGGCCTGTCTCTTTAATAAATCCACTGCTCTCTTGTCTCCTCTGAGGCTGGGACTCTAAATAGTGTTCTGTGCAGCCAAAGGCAGAACAGTTAGCATGTTTTGCTCAAACTTTTGCCATGGCATTACACCGTTGTCGCTTGCGAAATCAAAATGAAGGTGCCATGGGTGGAAACTTACAGATTAAGGGGCGGTAATATTATAATGAGATCCCTTTGCCACGTCACCAACGGAGCGAAAACAGACGCGCTCGTTTTCTCAGACGCTTGCAGAAAAAGGCTTCCCAAAACAAAGTTACTGGGTTAATCTTTTTCACGTTTCCTTGGTTGGTAGATGCACCGGGGACCTGATTATAGCACTTAAAACCTGGAAAAGTCAGATTTTCATGATATGTCACTTTTAAAATAGAAAACACTTACTTTAAATGATAATAATATTTCACAATATTACTGTTCTTGCTGTATTTTTAATGAAATAAATACAGCCTAGGTGAGCATAAGAGACATCTTTCAAAAACAAAAAAAATATCTTACTGACCCCAAAGTTTTGAACAATAGTGTATACAAAAAGATAGTGGCTGAAATACACCAACTGTCCCCACTGTTAACTGGCTCTAATAGCTCCATTGTTTCTCTCACCCAAAAAGCCCTAACAAAACAGAGTTCATAAAATCAAAGTATCAAATGCTGGCTTTCGTCCATCGTTTACCCTGTCGAGATGACGACAGTACAGCAGCCGCTGATCTAAGCAAGGTAAGGAAGGAGTTACCAGTTTTATGGTTGACGTTCTTCTTTATTTAATTGTTCAGTTCTTTCAAATATTTGATGCATTCATTATAGTGCATTTTTTCAGACTTTACATGCATCATTGCTCCTCTAGTACATCTAATTCTCATCTGATGTGGTTGTCTTCTGTCAGACTTGTTGAAAAGTCTCTATTGACGTACATTGTCTTTGATTCTTTAGCAACTTCACTCCAGCGTTAGAACCGGCAATCTTGAGACTTGTTTGCGGTTACTATCGCTTGGGGCTCAAGCCAACTACTTCCACCCGGTAAAAACCTCTGATCTTAATTTAATGATATTCAGTTACATTAAAAATGCTTTCCGAACTTACTGCTCTTTTTTAACGGTTCTGCACTGGTTTAAACAGGAGAAAGGAAACGCTCCACTGCACATAGCAGCTAAAGCAGGGCAAGTGTGCCAGGCTGAGCTCCTCTGTGTTTATGGGGCAGACCCTGGTGCTCCAGACTCCAACGGCAAAACGCCCATCCACTATGCAAGGTAATCAATAGCTAATGCATCGATGCTCCAAAGCCACTCGGCAGTGAAATCTGCATTTATTGATTACTTCCAATATTTTGTCAATGCAGTGATTAAAAAGAATACTTGTCATGGATTTGTCATGTGACCTTCACTGACAAATATCCAGATTAAAGGGATAGTCCACCCAGAAATGAAAATTCTGTCATTACTTACTCACCCTCATGTCGTTCCAAACCTGAAAGGCTTTCTTCCTTCTGTGAAACACAAAAGAAAATATGTTGAAGATTGTTGGTAACCAAACAGTTATGGTACCCATTGACTTCCATTGTATGTACAAAAAAACAATGGGAACCAAAACTGTTTGGTTATCAACATTATTATTTTACATATTATTTTTATACTATAATAAAATGCATTAGTATTTTAAATGAACTTTTTTTCAGGTTTAATTAAAGAAATATAGTTTTATTAATTCTGTTACGTGCTTTGGACATTATTAAGTTTAATTTTACTACTTCAACTGAAACTTGCCAAGAAAATATTTAAAAAAAATTTTTTTTTTTTGAGTTTAAGTTTTTCATCTAATACTTATATTTTATTTTATTTCAGCATTATTTCAATTGCCAAACACAGTTTTAATAGTTTAATTTTAGTTAACAATAGCATCACTGGTCTGTATGGTGTCCCATTTGGTATTTTATGTTATTGGTGCTCAATTCCACGGAAGACTGAGAGGGACCACAAGGGCTGAGGGCAGCATTTGGCACAGGACCTTAAAGTTCAAAAATAAAAACCCATGTGTCATAACGTCATTGTGTTGTTTGTAATCAGGCAAGCTGGCCATCAAGACCTGGCAGACAGACTGGTGGAAATACAGTATGAGCTCACAGACAGGCTGGCCTTCTATCTCTGTGGGCGGAAGCCTGGTGAGTCAGAGCGCAGAGCGATGGTGTGCTATCATGATGAGAGCTGATGTTTTGATATCCAGCTGTGGGGCTGCAGATGCTGATGAAGCCAGTTTATAGCACGCTCTTACTTTAGTGGGTTATGGTCTTCAGAGCGCCAGATGGCTCAATAAAATATCACAGTGATGTCGGAGTCAGCTTAATGTGTTTTATTGCTTTAGTGTGCATCTTTATCAGTGGATTGTCAATTGAAAATGTTAAACTATGTCAATAATGTCAATACGTTCTGTGTTTTAGATCACAAGAATGGACAGCATTTCATTATACCACAGATGGCGGACCGGTAGTAATAATCTAATGCATTCTAATGTTTTCCTGTGTGAACTGATGCCATTTTTATAGTAGTTTCTTCTAGAGGAATATTTTGGGATGTGCTTAGTCATGTTTTGGTCATTGGATAATACTGATCGCATCCCAGAATACTTCCCTGCATGGCTATGATAGCAATCCAAACAGGTTTTTAAGATTAACATAATTTAAATTTAATATCTTGCCATTCCTTTTTTGCTGTCTTTGATGGAAAAGAAATGTGTAAGTATTTGATATTGAGAATGGCAATTGAAAATTTAATTTCACCTTTTATCTTTTACCATTAGTGTTTATAATAAATCTATTTAATAAACAAACTAATATTATTTACCATTTTATTCCCTTTTATAGCAGTCTGGAGTTATCAGAGTTCGCAAAAGCTGCAAAAAGAAAACTGCAGTCTGTAAGTCCTCTTATTTTATTTTATGCACTGCAATGCAATGCAATGCTGCTAATTGAACTACTTATTTCAATACAGTAGCTTTGGGAAGTCTGATTCTTTTTAGCGAATCAGCATGTTCAGACAGTTTATGTAAAACAATAAAAACAATTTAATGATTTATTTAATCAAACTATTATCAGAAGTCCCTCCAAATTTATTTATTTTTTTTTAATTTTGCATAGCAAAATAATAAACTAACTTCTGCTTAATCATGACAAGTTGATATATTAAGCAGAATATTTAATTAAATAGTTAATGTTGTTGACCACATTTTAGAAATGACAATGTTTCAGGTTTTATTTAGTGTCAGTTTTTCTGTTAAAATGTTATCACTGTAACTGAATACAATCTACAGTCTGCTAAATGAATACAATCTACAGTACTACCAAAGTTCAAAACCATATCCTTATTGTTTAGTTGAGTACCAGATAAACACTACTATGATTGCAGAGATAAATGATGCCATTTGACAGATGCATCTGATTCTGAAGATTACCCCTTTAAACAGCTACATTTTGCTAGTAGATTGTGGTGTAGGTTAGCTTAGCTTAACTGTAGTTTAACTACTGTAGCTTGTTACTTGAAAAGCCAACACAGCTAAGCACTGAGGAAACCGTTGGGCTTCTCTGAAGCAGATGTCCTTTTAAGTGCCGCAACACCCCCAAAACCGTTATCTGCCAGTCATTAATATAAAAGACAGCGTTTATGCTATTTAACCTGTCTCCAAACATGATTTTATGCTGTTTTACAACCATTGAGAGCACAGATGACTGATGCAACTCTGCTAATATCATTGCAGCTCAGCGATCATTTGTTTGAGGAATTGGCAATGGATGTGTACGATGAAGTTGATCGAAGAGAGACTGATGCAGGTGAGATGATCTACATTTGATAAACAATGGAAAGAACTGACTCATGAAATGTACATTATACGAGTGCAAAGCGTGACACTTTGATGAGCACTTTCTTTGTATCTGGTGTAGTTTGGCTGGCCACTCAGAACCACAGCACCTTGGCAACGGAGACAACAGTTGTGCCTTTCCTTCCTGTAAACCCAGAGTACTCATCAACACGAAACCAGGCAAGTTCTGAACAGAAAGTTGTTATGCTTTAAGTCTTTTTACAGGAAATAAAGATATTGCACTTTGACATGTGACGTTTTATAACACCTTTTATGCAGTTTGCAGCTAAAAGTGCAAAATGCAAAAATGTGCCAGATGAACATGGAAACAGATGTCACAAAATTAATAAAAAAGGAAATGACATCAAAACACTATGCACTGAAGCATAGAACCAAACCACAAATGATAGATTTAGCATGTTATAGATTATAGAGAAGTTGTGTCTTTTGAGGCGCTGCCACTAATCAAGAAAGTTGTGTTTTTGGAGCAAACCTCCACTTTCAACAATAAAATTCAAGGAAATTACTATAAACTTACTATAGTAGTTTCTGATCAGTGTACACATGCAGATGGGTGTCTTTGTCCATTGCTTTTTAAAGGGGTGGTTCATTGCGATTTCACTTTTTTAAAGGGGTCCTATTATGCTCTTTTACAAAGTCTTGATTTTGTTTTGGGGGTGTACTAGAACATGCTCTTATGCTTGGTGGTTCGAAAAACGCATTATTTTTCACACAATTTACATTATTAAAATACCTTTCTCCCCATCCTGGCACAAACGGCTCGATTAGTTCCGGCTTTGATGAAGGTCCGCCTTCCGAAAAACAAAATGTGTTGTGATTGGTTAGCTGTCCCAGTGCGTTGTGATTGGCGAACAGCTTAGACGGTGTTTCAGTACTGCCACGCCCCTTGCTCCGTCTTTCAACAAAAACTTTAGGCGAATCCGGCAGGCACTGTATTGTGTCATGTTGTGGAAGCTGTCCTCAGTAAAATGCGCAGCACACAATAGCAAATTGGGGTTATAATGCTCAGGAACAG